CTGTACTATGCATGTGCAGTGCTGGGAATTCCATAGTAGCTGAATGGCTGCTGAGGAAATCCCCCCCCCCCCCCACTGACTGCCCAGCCTTACATCTGAGCCAATTTAAAGGAGAAAGTTGTGCCGATTTAAAGGCTGGGGCAAATTTCTTCTCCATTTACTATCCAGCCTTTAAATGTATGCTATCCCCATCCCCCACCCCCATTTAATTTCCCAAGCCCTACACTTGCACCAATTAGTCTTATTATTTTCCCTCAAGTCTTTCACAATTTTGTGCACATTAACCTATATGTGGCCTCGCCTATTAAGTTTTCTTGTATGTTACTGACTCCAGTGTGGTACTCCATTAACAACCAAAAGATACAAGGAAATTCACAAGGCAAAACTGCATATATCATTGAATATGTGTACTTACATGATTACAAAAAAACAGGGATTTTTTAACTGACCCTTCTGCACAAATGGCAAGCTCCTCAAAAACAAAAAAGGTGCAAATTGCTATCACTAAAAAACCAAATGGCAGGAGTCCAAGTATTGGGTGAACCTACATCATGAAAGGATAATATGGAGAGCAGGAGGATTCTGTAAGCCACCTTGGGTTCCTTGCAGGAAAGCAGGAAGCATATAAATGTGAACAAATAGCTCACTATAGATCAAATCAACTTCCCCCCAAAGTCTCTGATATTCTGCAGTTGAATGCTAGAAGTTCCAGATCATAAGCTTCAGACCACAACAGAAAAGGCCACTGAAACTACATCCATATATGTGCTATGATCCCAGATCTTCTTGCCTTGACCTTCTACACCACCCTTTCCTGGACCTCGTGCAAATAGACCCTGGATTGCCTGATGCTGTTTATTTGGAATCTCCCTAATCTAGTACAGTATTCTGTTTGAACTTTGTGGGACTGAGCTTAAGACTGCCCTATAACTTTGCATTTGTGCTCACCCTTGCCTAAAATCTGTGCTCTTTATGGGACCCAGTCTTGACCCTGGACTGATGACTCCATTAGTCTTGACCTCTGCACAGCCAGGACCCACCCCTTCTGAAGACCACCTTCAGGAAGGCCCCTCCTTTCTCATCTGCCACTACTAGCAGCTGTTTCGGCACACAGTTCTCCGGAAGCAGCGCCATTCTACCAGCCCTGCTGAATACTTAATCTCATTCTTCTTTTCCCTCTTCATCCCTTTTTCCTTGTGAGTTGCTCTTTATAGACTGTGGTGGGGAATTGTCTTGTTTTACTGGTCATAGGTAAGCTGCCCAGAGAGATGTTTATAGCAGGATAAAAACTGTTTAAATAAATCTTACTTATAGCAAGCAAGCGAGATTAGCTTGCTTGAGGTAATGTAGTGAATTCATGGCAAAGATGCTATTTCAGTGGGGGACGTCCTGATTCATAACTTGACTTCATTACCGCTGAACTGCATCAGCACAAATGAAATCCTGCAAAGGTACAAAGGCATATAATGTAGTAAAAGCATGTGCCTCCCTTTAGCTGCAGCTCTGTCATCCGGGATTTAAAGAGCAGAAGGGGAGCAGCATACTTGGGTTTCTGCCAAGGCCCATGGGAGGCTGTCCCCGTGCCCTCTCTGTGATAACAGCCAAGCCCTCTCCATCAGCCGGAAGAAAATAACCTGCATGACGCTCGTTCCCTTCATCCCTCCCGGAAAGAGCACGCAGGTCCGGCCAGGGCTGCAGAGCTGAAAGGAACCACGCTCTGGTCCAGCCGCCAGTCAGCTGCCATGCTGTGCGGCCCACGTGCGTGCGTCAAGTGGGCACCACTGCACTTTCCTGCAAGCTGCCTTGAGGGTCATTTGATTGAAATGCAGGTTATAAATCCTTTCAATACATAATGCCCGAGGAGTTAAGCAGATGAGAAATTATAACTGAAATGTGCCCCTCTAGAAAGATTACTGTCCTTTTTGATAAAGTAATCAAGGTAAAAATAGTATTTTCTCTCAATATGAGTATATCTGGTACCAACTTTTAGCCTTCTGGAATAGTAATTTTAATTAGTTCGTATCTTCTGTGCAGAATCTTGCTCTGCAGAAGGGCAGTGTGCCCACTTTGGGTAATGGTCTTTTCTGTCAGCAGAACAGACCTGTGCACCTCTTTCCCTCTTCTGCAGTGTTTGAGGTCATTCTCTTGTTTTGTGGCAGTTCAGCATTAGTATTCCTACACCAAAGATGAGAGAGACCTAGCAGCCTGAGGCAAGTCAACAAGTTCACACACAGGCAAGATGCTTGATGTTAAATGATAATGGACTATTAGGCCACTGTTGTGCCCCTGTCTTAAGTGTGAGTCTGAATTTAAAGTGCTGACCAGAAGTTGAACAGCTGTCTGGGTGCTCTTCTAGACAGTATTGTGAACTTCATTCATGTCTATAGCATCTCCCTGAAAACAAACTTGGAAAAGGGTGAAGGTGAGGTAGATGGCTGTAGGAATAGCAGAACCAGCCATTTTCACGCTTGCCTCAATTCTGTGCATTTCAGTTCACTTCACCTTGCACCTGTTTTCACCTTGTTTGAATGGAAAGTGTGCATTTTCACACATATTTTTCAGAAGCATACTACTCCTTTGACTAAAGTGTGAAAATGTGTAAAAATATACAGAGTTCTTAAAAAATACTCATTTTTGCACATGATCACAAATTCAAAAATATGTACACATTTCTGGGAAGAAACCTTTCTTGTGCAACTTGAGAAATTTCATTTCTGTCCCGTGCACAGAAATTTCATTTCTGTGAAGGGCCTAGACAAAGAGTTTGTAGGGTTTGCAAATGTGCAGTGTGAGCCTGCAGAGCTCAATAACCCCTGATTTGCAGCATGAGAGGGGCAGGGGGTGGGGTGGGAGGTAGAGAGACATGGAATGAAGTGCAAATGCTGAGGGAAATGACAGCAGGGCAACCGGGGAGTTGGACAGAAGGGAGGTCCTGCCCTCCCCTGGTTACCAGTTAGATGAAGCCTGGCAGCTACCTGTTGCCTGGACTGCACTGCTAGAGACAGGTCTTATTTTAAGAGATAACCTGCCTTAAGAGACTGTATCACCGTTAGCCTCCTTCCCTCTATTTCACGTTACTGTTAGAAGAGTGCTTTAAATTGCTCGTGTATGTCTTCCCTCAGCTCTTCCTCACAGGGCTGCAGTCCCTGTTTTGTTTTGCATCAACCCCCCCCCCCCCTCCCCTCCCCTTTTCAAAAATCCCTTTTTTTTTCTTTTTTTTTTTTTTTTTTAGCTTCTCACTGGCTTTCCCCTCCTGCTTTCAGGAAACAGGACTGCCAGTGGGCTGGTTTTCATATGCTGGTTGGTTTTTAGTATCTTTCTGCCCCATAAAATCCCTTGTCTACTAGCAACCCTGTTGGTTAATGGAAATAGGCATGCTGAGGAATCCAACAGGAGGGGTAAAAATCCAACAGACTCCTCAGCTGGGCCCTACAGATCCCATTCCATCAGCCCTTTGCTTGTGCCAATTCAATGAAAGCCAAGCCAGCAGACGGACTTCTGCTTTTAAAACTGGACATGATTTGCATTTTAACAAAGCTGAGAAAAATTCCCTGGAATCCAGGACCCTGCTCCTCAATTTGTGCATGTTTATGCAAGCTGTGGAACAGAGATACAAATTTTGCACAAATCTGAATTAACTGTCAGAAAATTCAGGGTGGCCAAAGTGCAGTGTGAACATATGCAATGAAAAAAGGAAAGCAAGGCCACCAACCCAGTTGGTAGTCTGTCAAGTCCCTTCTCTTCCCTTCCCTAGTGTGTTGTACTTTTTTTGTTTGTAGGCCTGCAAGCACAAACCAGCTTTTTGACATGAAAAAATAGCTTCTGTTGCTCTTCTTGTGTCTGTTGGAGTGAACAGACCAGTTTGGAAGCCTGGTCCACCCTTCTGTCCTTGACAGGCATCCAGCAGTGCCAACCACGATGCAGGATGCCATACCATATACCTACTGTTAAAATGATGGGTCTGCTTACAGCATGTCCCTCCTCCACTTAGCCTGTCTAGCAAGCCTATACATGGAAAGGGTAGCATTTCAGGGGGATCCATGCTGGCAGTCCTGGCTTTCAGCTTCGTATGCAGCATCCAAAACTTGGTTCACAGGGCCTGACAACTAAATTTCCCCATGTCATTAGTGCTACTGTGTGCCACGACTGCTGATTACTCCCTGGCATTATCTACCAGTCTGTCCAGGTGTGTGCTGTCTGCAGCCTTCATTTCATGCCATGTGGTTTATATGCCCATCCAAAATCCAGCTGATTTTGCTAATAATGTTTCTCACTGTCATGAGTCTGCCATCTTTTGGAGGCATGTTCTTAATGCAAGAACAGATGTGTGCTCTCCTCAAAATACAGGCTCCATTAAGGAATCATTTCCGTCCATAGAGTGATCTCTCCTTCTCCACAACCTTCATTCTCCGTGACTGCAGAGCATTATTGCATCCCCCAAAATTTCAAGTACAAGTCAAGCCAGTTCATGGACTTTCATCTCTAAGACAGAGTGCAGCTTGTCGATTGTATTTTATTTTTTAACTGAGGAATTGGAGTTAAAGAATGAAATTGGATGATTTGCACAAATCAAAACATCATTTTTTAAAGAAATCCAGGGAGATCTGAGAAATTATAGGCTGGTTCGCTTAAAATACCTTCAAATTGGTTGAAAACATTATTAAACATAACATTAGTAAGCATATAGAAGGATAAGCCCTGCTGATAAAGAATCAAAATGGCTTCTGTAATAGTAAGTCCTGTCTACCTAACTGTTTAAAGTTGTTCAAGAATGTCAGCCAATTTATGAACAGACATTTTCTTAGACAACATTTTCTTGGACTTCTGAAAGGCTTTTGTCAAAGTCCCTCTGAGCAAACTTAGCAGTCATGAAATAAGAGAGGAGAGTTCCTCTTATGGATCAGTGACTGGTTAAAGAACAGAAAGCGGACATTCAGAATAAACAGTCCTCCATAGTATTTCCATTTTTGTTTTCATTTGTTTCTTCTTTTATCTTTCAGGTGCAGCAACCGGACACAGTGTGCAGTGGTAGCAGGTCCTGATGTGTTTCCTGACCCATGTCCAGGAACATACAAGTACCTAGAAGTGCAGTATGAATGTGTTCCTTACAGTATGTATACTATTGCTTATTATTGCATGCATGAATAAGAATTTAGTTTGTTGGTTGCATATTTGTTTAAAAGTGATTGTACAATCAGCTTGTTATCCTGTAGCATTTTGAGAAACTGCATGGTATAATTACTGAGAGGATGACTGTGGTCTACTAAATCCCTAGTCTGAACACTCTTTTTACTGAAAATTCACTAGGTGGCTTTCAGCAAGTCAGTCTCATGCATCCTTGTCTGTAAAAGGGGAACAATAATCCTTACCTAATGTGGAGGGTTATTTGGCCTGGGAAGTTCTAATGCCAGAGGACCGAGTGATGTCAGCTGACTGAATGGTTTTAAAAGGAGACTAGACATAATCGTGTAGGGTTGGTCTCTCAAAAACTATTAAAAATGAAAGTTAAATTTAACTCCAGGTTCTGAAGCAGCAGATCTCAGCATGACAGTTTCTGGAAGTTTGCCCCCCCTCCAAAAAAAAAGGAGGGTGATGTTTGTGTGTTCGTTTTTATGCTTCCGTATAAGGATATGAACCCTGATGCTGGGAACGATTGACGGCAAAAGGAGAAGGGGATGGCAGAGGATGAGTTGGCTAAATGGAGTCACTGGGGCAATGGGGGTGAGCTTGGGTGGACTCCAAGGGATGGTGGAGGACAGGAGAGCCTGGAGGAGTGTTATTCATGGTGTCGTGACGGGTCGGGCACGACTTCACAACTAAACAAACCAAACCAATAAGGATATGACCAATATTGTTCAATCTGTCGCCTCTGTATCAGGCACCTTTTATTCCATTGCTTGCTTATTAATGGAATAAGAGGTTTTTGTATGAGAATGTCATTTGTTTGCAAAGGTGCATTTGTGCAAGTGGGCACTTATGCAGCTCCCTCCCCCCTCAAAAGCAGTCAGCTAATTTGCGTGTTCATGGAATCTACTTACCTTGGTAAACTCTGGTCTGCTGTAAAATCTGCCAGTTGGATTCATAGCAATCTGACTACATTTGACTCTATTGCAGATTTTCCCCACATCTTCACCTCCTTTGAAAGCTTCCAGAAACATCTTGTTGGCTTGTACAAAAAAAAGGGGGGGGGGCGAGCTAGACTAGGTGAAGCTTTGCTTTGATTCAGCAGGGCTTACCTTCTTATGAGAAGTGTTTTGGACACTGATATATACAAATACTAAGTACTATCTTTGTAAATACTTGTTGATTAAATACACTACCATTTGATACTGTAAATGGAAATGGAATGCATGTTGATGAGAAATGACACTATGCAATTGTACAATACATTTCTAACCCCGTGACATTTCATCAAACCCCTTTAAGTGTGCAGTGGTAGAGCTATATATTAGAAATTCTCTGGCTAGGAAAGTGTTGTTTTGTAGAAAATGAACTTGTCACTCTGTTTGCTATCCATAGCAGCAGGAAGGCTTTCTACATGCCCAGTGACAAACTCTGATAATCCAAAAGGCAGAACATCTAAAGCAATAATTTGCTCTCGCAGTGCCTTCTCTCTACAGACAGAAGTGAATGAATTTGAGCATGCTGAGGAGCAAAGGGAAAATAGAAGCCCATGGTCCCGCCCTTCTACCTGGTTCACGTGCACTCTCAGACTCTTCTGTGCACAGTGGAGTGCGGTGGAGACGAGCATACAAGGCTACCTTGGTATAACCCTCTTGGACTGTCTAGTCCAAGGTTGTCAAGCTCTTCCATAGGCCAACCATGGAACCCTGGAGATGCTAGGGTTGAACCACAGACTTTGCCTGTGCAGCACATAGGCCCTCACCACTAAACTGTGGGCCTGGGTGTTTTACTGCATTTATGACACCCTAGCATAGCATACGGGCATATTTGCTTAGTTCCCACGTGCTTTATGTATCATTTCTATTCTGTCCTTCTTTGTAAATGCTGTCCAGCCAGTGACGGCGAACCTATGGCACGTGTGCCCAAAGGGGCACGCAGAGCCCTCTCAGCTGGCACGCGATGGCCCCAGCAGCCATGCACATATTTGGAAAGATTAAGGGTGCCAGGCAACAACTCACTCATTAGCCTTGACTCACTGAGCTTTCCCATGGCTGGTCAGTGAGCTGCCAGGGATTTGAATGGTCTGTGATTTTAGCAGGATGCAGGTGGCGCAGTGGTTAAAACTGCTGTGCTGCTGTGCTGCTTGAACAAAAGGTTGTTGGTTCAAGTCTGCACAACCCGTTGTGATTTTAGCAGAAGGTAGGAAAGGTAGGAAATACACTCAGATACCTTTTTCAGGGCCAGCCAAAAGCTGGTGGTCAGTGGAATGTTGTCCCCTTGTGCTGATGGTCAGTAAATTCAGGTTTTATCGCAGTGTTGGCCCTTTGCAATAAATAAGGGGGTTCTGAGTTGCAGTTTGGGCACTCGGTCTCTAAAAGATTCACCATCACTGTCTCAAGCCGACACTGCCATTCCTTTTGAAATTTAGAACAATTGAAGAAATGTGGTGTATGCAGAATTGTGCATGTGACCCACCACACTTTTGGGATTTGCACAAGAATGAACGTAGGAACCCTCTCAGGTATTTTTGTATTATTGATTGTGTAACTTTCAACAAAACCAAAAAATAAAACGAAGCAAATAGAACACCTCGCAAATCTAACTACATACAGTTAAATATATGAATTTAAATTGATAGATGTGAAATATGTGACACATTGTGAAAATTTGTGAAAGTAAAATTTATAAAAGTCATACATAAACTTCCACAAAGGCAAACCAATATCCATATATAAGGTTGTATTCATGAGTGGAAATGCTCAAATGCTGAAAGAGTCATTAGGTCCACAATCCATCACATTATAGGAAATGAGTGTTTATCCTTCCAGTGTGGTAATGCTAGTCTTTTAACTGTCAAAAGGGCACAGAAAATCCATTTGTGTTGACCATGTGTGAAATTATCTACCTGCTTCCTACAAGTTAGCACCTGTCCTCTTAAAGCATTGCAATACAAACGTTATCCATGTTAGAATGTCTTCCCCAACAGAGAAGACTCTGGGCATTGCGAAAACGTGTGATTCAGAGCACAATTGGACGCCTGTGCCCTCTGCGCACACACGTCTCCAAACACAGAAGTGTGTGTGCATGAGTGAGCCTCAGCAGCAGCAGTGGCCACCACTATCCCTTGGGCTGGGAACGCCATCTGGGCAGCTGTTTTCAGTCATCTCGATTAAAAACCAGGGAGGGGGGAGTGATGGGGGCTTGGGTGCCAGCAGGAATTGGCGCAAGTCCCAGCCTCCTCCCCTCCCAGCACGGCCCTTTTCCCATCCCTGCCAGGCCCAGTTGCAACCTCTGGAGGGAAAGGGGACAGTTGGCATGCTTCTTTCTGCACCAGCTTTGAGGGGAGGGTTGCTGGCTTTCAGAGTCCTGCTTCTCCATCGCAAGGCCTCCTAGACAATGTTGGGAAGCTATAGGATTGCAAACCTAGCGAAGCATTTGCTGTGTCGTAGCTCCAACAGCCAGCTGAGTTTAACCCTTATTAAAGAGATGCTGTGGCATCCAAGAGGTGCAGGTGTTTTTGCTGAATATGATCCACTGGCATTTCATATACAAATGCCAATGCAATGATCCATTGACTGACAAAATTGACTAAACTGGCAAATAGGATTGTTTCATTCCTGCTTAAAACTCTGTATACCATATTTATTCACTGAAAATAAGTATTTATACGCATGAATCATGTGCCAATATATCCGATCAGTTTCTGTAAGTACTTCCAATAGTGAAGGAGACCCTGAAGTTGGGAAAGTGGCTGGACCAAGCTAGGATTATGACAAATGTTCCAATCGGAAATACTGGCATTCAGCCATAATAAGCAAATCTTACTTAGCATGCCTACCTGAACAGGACAAAAAGTCATCATTGACCCTGCAGAACACCATTTTCTTACCAATTCTTAAATCTGGATTTCTTCATACAGCGTGGGAACATTGTTTAAAATGTAATTGATGTAACATACACTATACCATACCTCCCTAGCAGATTTAATTCTGGGGGGCAACCCTATTTATTTTGCTATGCTGAAGGATGTTGGAAAAATGCACAACAGAGTCAAATGAGCATGAATTTTTATTCTATCCAACCCATAGTCTGCAGCAGACCAGCTTTTCTTAATTTGCACAGGTTCCAGGGACTTGTGGGCCATATTTTTCTTACGTAAGTTCATTTTACACAAGCTTAGACAAATAATGGCACAAAGGTTGGAAAGTGTGCATGTCCCCATAGACTAGGTATGCACTATGCAAGTATGAATTTGCATAATAATCCAAATCCATCAATGGACAGACAATAGAATGAAAGTCATCTGACATCTGCAAAAGTGCAGACAGGTGACTTAACCATGACCTTGCACCCCTATGAGAACCTGATGGTGGATGAGGAATCCATTTTGGAGGTGGGGAACTGTTGCATTCCCTGGGCTTGGCTCCCCAGATGCTAGTCTGCTTTGTCATGGTCTGAGTCTGAGTTTCTGATGAGCACACTCAGTGATTGCGAGGTGCTCCCCAAGAATTGACCTGCACTCCCACTGCACACACCACCCCCTTTCCACACCAGGAGCAGGCGTTGCATCCTACATGGAAGGAGGTGGTGCATGTGGGGCTCACCAGGAATGGAGCCCCACGGGACTGCTGTGCCAGCAGCATCCCTCTTCCCTGCCACCTGCAGCCGCCTTTGTTTGTGCTGCTGCCGCACCTGACGCAGAAGAAGGCTGTCAGTTGTACAAACTGTGAGCATTCACGGACGTCCTCTTGGTTTGGCTTGCTTTCCAGGACTGGGCCGAGTATGACAGGAGGTCCACAAATGCTAGAGGGGTGGAATCTGCTAAGGTTCATCCCAAACCTACCTATTTGGAGAGAGGAACTAACAGGATGCTTCCAAAACTGACCAAGGTGGAAAATCTAATCTGTGCAGAAAAGAGGAAAATGTGGAACAGGTCAACAAACAGACCTGTTCATATAAAGCCAGATCCAGAAACCTACCTTATTA